ATTTTTTTTTCCAGCCCTGAGTTCACAAAGGGACTTTGTTCTTTTTTCCTTGACTGAACAGATCAATTTAAAAAATAAAACAGGATAAACACCTAGCAACACTTAACTCTCACCCTTGCAGTGGATATATTTAGGATTTTGTTTTTTGACTTCTTTCTCTTCCTTTCCATTACCTTTTGGGAGTTAAACCTCTTGTTAGCTTCCATTTTTATTGATACAAAGAGTAGTTCCAAACCGCTCTGCTGCCCTGACCTGCCACCCCAAAGGCCTCTAATTTTATATTTCCAATTGCTTGTAATAATATATGTCTGGTAATTCCCTAAAAGTTTACATCTTGATAGTTCTCTCTCATCTTAGTTACCAAAGCCACTTCCTAAAATGGCTTTCCAGCACTGAAATGTGCATGTTTCTCACATTTTTTTTTCTTTCATTTGTTGTGACTTACATCCATTCATTCTGTTTAGTGTTCGTGATACTTACTTCCTCCTCTTCACTTCTACCACTCCTGACTGAATTATAATCCCCCCACCTTGGGATCTACAACAGGGTTCACCCAGAGCTCCCGACTCCGACTCATTCTGCACTCAGCAGACAGAAGAGACTCTCAATCCCTATTTTCAATCTTGTTCTGCTCACTGAAATTTATATCTTCTCCCAGAAATTGACTGTATTCTGTCCGCTTCAATTCAAGGACCTCTATTATCTACTTTCTTTTCTTATCAAATAATGCTACTTCCTTGTTGGAAACACTCCATTTATAATCAACTTATACTGCTTCCCTGTGGGAAACCTCATTTCATTCTAGACTCCTTACCCAGGCCTAAGAAGTGTCTGCCTGTCTTTCTGACCTCATTCCCTACCACCCTTGCCACAGTTCACTCTGCTGTAAACATGCTCGGTTCTTCCTGTTCCTTCCTATCCAGGCCCTGTGTGCTAGCTTTTCCCTTTGCCTTGAGAGCTGTTCACATGGGTCATTGCATGACTTCTCCTCTGTTGGGACTCAGTCCAAATGCTGTCTCCTCAGTGAGGCCTTTCCTGACAATCCTGTTTAAAATTGTACACGTACAGCCACTATAGTCACATTTCTTAGTTTTATTTTATTGATAGTACTTTATATTATTTTTCACTTGCTTATTATCTATCTGTGCCACTAGAATAAATAACCTACAAGGGCCTAGAATTTGACTTTCTTGCTGGCTGCTATATTCCTAAGACCTAGAACAGTGCCTGACACACAGAACTCAATAAATATTTGTTGAATGAATTATGCTGACATAATTTTTACTCCCCGATTAAGCTAATTCTCTATGATGTCTTGCATATTTATTTGCCAATCCTTAGACATATGTTTTTTTCATTCTAGTCCTCTCTACTGAATTCCCTTCATGCTTCTTTTTGTCAATTTTTATTAGTCACTTTCTTCAAAATCTAGCTCAAAGACCACCTTTAAAAATGTCTTCTCAAATTCTCCCTGCCATGAACATTATATTACTTCTCCTCCCCACAGGATTTACCTCTATAGTTTTCATTATATTATCTTGTGCTTTATTTTTAACATATTGCTTTATAACACAGTGTTTTCCTTTTTGAGTCTTCTAGTTATTTTCTTGTTGAGAGAGGATATAGTTATGTGAGGAAAGCTTTGGACTGGGAGTCCTGGCTAACAATTTCAGACTTTGGACAGACCATTTTCAACATCCATAAAATCAAAGGATTAAGCCTTTCATTTGCAGACCAGAGGCTGCAAAATGGCAGGCCACAGATTATGTTACTGAGCCAAACTTTGGTCTGCCTGCCCAGTGCAGCAAAGCCAAACACTGACATTGAGATTTGCAGTAAAAGAAAATAAGGCATTTATTACAGGATACCAATTCAGGAGAATTGGGAAGCTCATGCTTAAGACCTGAACTCCCTGATGGCTTGCATGCAGGGGTTTTTAAAAGCAGGGAGGCAGAGGTTAGAAGTAAAGACATAAATCAACACATGCAGGCTGTACATTGGCTTGACCTAAAAAGCCCTGACATCTCAAAGCAGGGGACCACTGGTCATAGGTAGATTCAAAGATTTTCTGATTTTGTTACTGGTTAAGGAGGTGAAGCTTTGTCTAAAAATTTAGAGTCCACAGAAAGGAATGTTGAGCCTGTGGATGTGACTTCCTCCAGGCTTCTCAGGAAGAAATTTACAACAAAGAACAGAGGTTATAGTTCAGTCCTCGGTTCCCTCTTATCTGAAGTCTACATGCCAGCAGATAGCATTTTCCATTTGGTAGTGTCCAAGTTTCTGAAAAACAACTCAGGGACTTATGTTAGGTTGTTATTAATATCTTTAGTTTCTATAGGGAATCAAACATCTAATGACTTTCTTGGCTGTTGTTTTAAGTTACTATTACCTTATTGCTTATCAAGTTGCTCATTTCCTTTTTTTTTTTTTTTTTTTTTTAAAGAGAGCCTTGCTTTGTCACCCAGGCTGGAGTACAGTGGCGTGATCTCGGCTCACTGCAGCCTTCATCTCCCAGGTTCAAGTGATTCTCCTGTCTCAGCCTCCCAAGTAGACTACAGGCACATGCCACCATGCTTGGCTAATACTTTGTATTTTTAGTAGAGACAAGGTTTCACCATGTGGGCCAGACTGGTCTTGAACTCCCTATCTCAGGTGATCCACCAGCCTCAGCCTCCCCAAGTGCTGGGATTACAGGTGTGAGTCACTGCGCCCAGGCTAAATAGAGATTTTCCTTTATTTCCATGCTTGGAGCACAGGGTGGGAGGTGCCCAGCAGGCCCCTCAGAGGGGTCCTGCTCTGTCTCAGTTGGATAAGGCCCACATATGTGTTTCATTCAGCCTTAGTAAAACTCAAATTAGCTGACGACGTTTAGAAATTGAGAAATTTTGGAAAGCTTGGAATTATATACACTCTGAAAAAGATCAGAATAGACCCACATTTTTGGGTGGCAGAAAACTCATTGAGAAAGAAAACAGCTGTCCCTTAATATCAGGTGTAGACACTGACATGATACAATCCTCAACTTGTTCGGATATTTCACTTGTTTCTGTTAACTCTGTTGGAATTTCAATATGCAAACTTGTATTTCAATATGCAAGATTGTATTATCTCTGAGGTACCTTTCAACACTACATATCTATGAATTATGAGTAAATGTGTTTGACCTGTCTACTTAGACTTAATGTTCTTGAAAGGCAGTGTCTGGTGCTTCTCCTTTGCTTGTCCAGGTTACAGTGCTGGTCATAAAGCAGGTGCTTAGTATTTGTTTGTTGAACATTACATTTAGTTATATCTACAAATACACAATAAAAACCAAATACCACCTAGTAAAAATTTATTACAGATGCCTGGTTGGCTTTTATAAAGAAAACATCCTATCAAAATGGAATTAAAATGCTAACACAGTATTTGTATCATATGGAAAATCTAACTCTAGACAGATATCAACCAAATGAAGTTTCATTTAGGCAACAGAAAAAAATGTAGCCCTTTAGTCCCCTTTCTCTGTGTGTAACTCCCATTAATTGTTCATTGTAGTTATATATGTATATCAAGAGCAGAATGTAATCTAGGGATGGAAAAAATACTGCTATTTGTTCTCCCAAGTAGTGATCATATGTTCAACAGCTGGGACTTACCAAGATCTGCATTTATTTCAATACTAATAACTACCTTTGCTGTATTCCCAGAAAACCACAAAATATTTGGCATGGTTCAGGACCACCATATCTAATAAAAAAAATCTCATTGTTCTTTTGCAATAATTCATTAACTTATAAGGGGAACATATTTCACTGAGATAGTTTACCTGGATTAATAGCAATAGCTAAAAGATTTCACACCCAAGTTGGGTTGTGTCTGGAGCACCAAAGTGAATGGAAGTCTCGAGTCCATGACTGAAGGCAGTCTTACCACCAGTGTTGCCAAAGCCTATAGTCTGAACACTTTCTTCTCTGTCTTTCTATTTTCTATTAAAAGGAGTACTCAGAAATTACAGAAGTATTTCATCTGAGAAAAAAAAAATGCATTTCTCAGAAACTCTGTCAAGTAAAAAAGGACATAGCTGATACCAGAATAAATCTCTTATGAAGTTTGGATAACTAAGATTTGAAAAACATTTTGAAATTTACTCTTATTTAGAACACTATGTTTTAAAGAATTAAAAAGACAAGCCACTTAGAAATTTTAACATTTATGATGAAACTTAATTTGGACTTTTTAATCTCTAATTTTTTTATTCTTTCTGCAGGGATTGAACTGAAGTGTACTTTTATGCTATCTGTGAAAATAATTGCTTAATAAGTAAATAAACATTTTAAGTAATTGTTGAAAATAAACATTTACTTATCAGAGAAAACAATTTCAGTTTTATTTATAAATCACTCTATTCAAAATGGAGATGTATTAGGGTTCCCTAGAGGGACAGAACTAATAGGATAGATAGATAGATATAAAGGGAAGTCTATCAAGTATTAACTTACACAATCACAAGTTCTCTAGTAGGTTTGTCTGCACGTTTGAGGAGGAAGGAGGGCCAGTCCCAGTCCCAAAACTGAAGAACATGGGAGTCTGATGTTTGAGAGCAGAAAGCATCCAACACAGAAGAAAGATGTAGGCTGGAAGTCTAGACAGTCTCACCTTTTCAGTATTTCTGCCTGCTTTATAATCAGTGGCTGCTGATTAGATGGTGCTCACCAGATTAAGGGTGGTTCTGCCTTCCCCACCCCACTGACTCAAATGTTAATCTCCTTTGGCAACACCCTCACAGACATACCCAGGATCAATACTTTGCATCCTTCAATCCAATCAAGTTGACACTCAGTATTAACCATCACGAAAGCAAGATCAGTCTTTTTAGATATGCTAATCATTTTTATCTGTTTACAAAATCTGGGCCTGAACTGCCAGAACTGGTTAGTCATTTTCTGGTACTGTATGTCCTTGAAACTAATAAAACTGCATTTTCTTTCTTTTTTTTTAATTGCATTTTAGGTTTTGAAGTACGTGTGAAGAACATGCAAGATTGTTGCATAGGTACACATATAGCAGTGTGATTTGCTGCCTTCCTCCCCATCACCTACATCGGGCATTTCTCCCCATGCTGTCTCTCCCCAACTCCCCACCCCCCACCATCCCTCTCCTATTTCCCCCCAACAGACTCCAGTGTGTGATGCTCCCCTCCCTGTGTCCATGTGTTCTCACTGTTCAACACCAGCCTATGAGTGAGAACATGCAGTGTTTGATTTTCTGTTCTTGTTTCACTTTGCTGAGAATGGTGGTTTCCAGGTTCATCCTTGTCCCTACAAAGGACACAAACTCATCATTTTTGATGGCTGCATAATATTCCATGGTGTATATGTGCCACATTTTCCCTATCCAGTCTATCGTCGATGGGCATTTGGGTTGGTTCCAGGTCTTTGCTATTGTAAACAGTGCTGCAATGAACATTCGTGTGCATGTGTCCTTATAGTAGAACGATTTGTAATCCTTTGGATATATACCCAGTAATGGGATTGCTGGGTCAAATGGAATTTCTATTCCTAGGTCCTTGAGGAATCGCCACACTGTCTTCCACAATGGTTGAACTAATTTACACTCCCACCAACAGTGCAAAAGTGTTCCTATTTCTCCACATCCTCTCCAGCATCTGTTGTCTCCAGATTTTTTAATGATCACCATTCTAACTGGCGTGAGATGGTATCTCAATGTTGTTTTGATTTGCATTTCTCTAATGACCCATGATGATGAACATTTTTTCATATGTTTATTGACCTCATGTATGTCTTCTTTTGTAAAGTGTCTGTTCATATCCTTCCCCCACATTTGAATGGGCTTGTTAGTTTTTTTCTTGTAAATCTGTTTTAGTTCTTTGTAAATTCTGGATGTCAGCCCTTTGTTAGATGAGTAGACTGCAAAAATTTTTTCCCATTCTGTTGGTTGCCGATTCACTCTAATGACTGTTTCTTTTGCTCTGCAGAAGCTGTGGAGTTCGATTAGGTCCCATTTGTCTATTTTGGCTTTTGTTGTCAATGCCTTTGGTGTTTTGATCATGAAGTCCTTGCCTATGCCTATGTCCTGAATGGTTTTGCCTAGATTTTTTTCTAGGGTTTTTATGGTGTTAGGTCTTATGTTTAAGTCTTTAATCCATCTGGAGTTAATTTTAGTGTAAGGTGTCAGGAAGGGGTCCGGTTTCTGTTTTCTGCACGTGGCTAGCCAGTTTTCCCAACAGCATTTATTTAACAGGGAATCCTTTCCTCTTTGCTTGTTTTTATTCAAATACGAAACTAGGAAGTCAAATTGTCTCTATTTGCAGACAACATGATTGTATATCTAGAAGACCCCATCATCTCAGCCCAAAATCTCCTGAAACTGATAAGCAACTTCAGCAAAGTCTCAGGATACAAAATCAATGTGCAAAAATCACAAGCGTTCCTATACACCAATAACAGACCTAAAGAGAGCCAAATCAAGAACGAACTGCCATTCGCAATTGCTACAAAGAGAATAAAATACCTAGGAATACAACTAACAAAGAGCGTAAAGACCTCTTCAAGGAGAACCACAAACCACTGCTCAACGAAATAAGAGAGGACACAAACAGATGGAGAAACATTCCATGTTCATGGTTCGGAAGAATCAATATCGTGAAAATGACCATACTGCCCAAAGTAATTTACAGATTCAATGCTATCTCCATCAAGCTACCAATGACCTTCTTCACAGAACTGGAAAAAACCACCTTAAACTTCATATGGAACCAAAGGAGAGCACACATAGCCAAGTCAATTCTAAGGAAAACTGCATTTTCTTTCATGTAGTTGGTCCAAATCAGTGACTTTTTCTATATGTATTTATTTTGGGAGTTTGAATCATTTTCATCTTCCATTGATTTTCAAACTACTGCAAATTACACAGTTTACATGTTAAAGAGATCAAGTTATGTAGAAGAAGAAATCTTTCTGCAAGCTATGTGACCTTAACTTTGCTGAGCTTGAGTAACCTTGCTCATTTATAAAATGGAGATCATAATACCTATTTCCTAGGAATGTAGAGGGGATAAATAGAGATAAGGCAAGCATTCTGCTAGTAAACAAGGTCCACATTATCACCATCATTCCCAATATGTTTTGAAGATTCTATGTAATGAAGCATGCATTTTCTAATTTATACTGCATTATTCTCATTTGCAGATGAAGACAAAGGTTTGGAGATTTAGGAAGCTTGCTCAATATCATAATGTTGAGGAACCAGCCTCCTTGGTTGCTTCTGATTGTAAACTAGCTGTGAGAAGGGCACCACTCTGCTACAAAAGCAATCTTAGAAATTAACCAGCACAAAGATCATCCATGACTAGTGAGTACAATTCTGAGACTGGTTTTTATATGTGCCTGTTGGGTCAGCCTCACTATTTTGAGGTTGTACCCTGGGCAGGGAACATGAGTCATTGCCTACCCATCCACTCCTCCACATTCTGACTGTCTCCGTTATGAATTAAGTCCTAAGAATTCTTATCTCATTACTCCCCATGGGGTTTCAGCAGCATTTATCTCTGACCTTTATTTTCACCCTGCTAGTTAATTGCTTTCTTCAACTTTTCTATTCTACTATTCAATGGTAGCTCAGCAAGTCACTTTGCATCATTATAGAAGAGGAAAAAATTGTTTTTGGGTTGTGGATTGCTTTGCAGATGTTGCACTTTGCAATTCCTATCACGCCATGACTCTGTAACCTGCTGGGAAGATGTAGCCCTAAGTGCAAAAGAAACTCCCCATAAAATGTTATTTTCCTAGGTTCCTTTCCCAACCACATGGAGCAGATAAATGGAAAGAGAGGCATGTTAGTAGTGGTGGTGATGATGGTAGTACAATTTTCCCTCAGTATCCACAGGGAACTGTTTCTAGGAACCACCTCCCCAACACCAAAATCTGCGATGCTCAAGTCCCTTATATAAAATAATATAGTGTTTGCATATAATCTACCCACATACTCCCATATACTTTAAATCATGTCTAGTTTATTTATAATACCTAATACAATGTAAATGTTATGTAAATAGCTGTTACGCTGTGTTTTTTTACTTGTATTATTGTATTGTTATTTTTATTTTTCAAATATTTTCCATCAGTCGTTGGTTGAAACCATGGATATGGCACTTGTGGATATGGCAGACTGACTGTAATAGTAACAATTATGATAGTAGTAATGCTAGTGATGGTGTTGGTAACGGTAGTGGTGAGTAGCAGTGGTGTTAAAGAAATTTTTTCCAATCAAGTGGAACCTCACAACAGTCTAGAGTATGATTTCATTCTAGTCTCTGACAATTTGGATTTATCTTATAAATGCTTCATAATTTATCAGGGTGCTATGAGGTTGTTAAAATTGAGGATTCCCAAGTAAACAGTATCTCTGTTTTCCTCAAGTTGTATATAGGTCTTCATATATTTTTTCTTTAAAATTTAAAACATCTACCATTCGGTCTAAAATAAATCCTTTAAATTAAGGCCAGGAGTAAAATGGAACCATGTCAAATGGATTCAGATAATTTCTCAGTTTGGGGAAATTCCAGGTATGGTACCCCTGCCAATCAAAGTATAAATTCCCAAACAGACTATAAGTAGGTTATGGAGGAAGACAATATTATGCTTGTCATGTTAAGTAACTGAAAAATTTAGAAGAAGACATATAGTTTCAAAAGCTACTTTACATTTGTGAGTTTCAAGATAACACAACTGCCCTGCCTAGTAGCGGAAGGTATTTTAAGTGTGCAGTATGTTCAGCCTTAGAAGAGGCAAACCATAGCACAGAGTAAGATAAGCCTTTGTAGGGTCTCAGAAAGCACTTACAGGATCTGTGAGTTAAACTTGGTTAGGGTGCAGAACAGAATTTCCTGGGCTCTTTTAAGGTATGGTCTGGTCTTGCAGTCTATACTCTCAGGCTCTCTGTTGTCTTCTTCCTTTATCAGTAAAATGGAAGAATGCAACTCTGGATCTCAACTCCTCTTTTCTCTCCTAAGGAGCCAAAGACTGCCTGAACTTCACACAATAAAACTCACAGATCCTTTTGGGAGGCCGCGGCAGGTAGATCACCTGAGGAGGAGTTTGAGACCAGCCTAACCAGCATGGTGAAACCCCGTCTCTACTAAAAAATACAAAAATTAGCCAGGAATGGTGGCAGGCACCTATAATCTCAGCTACTCGGGAGGCTGAGCCAGGAAAATCATTGGAACCAGGGAGGTGGAGGTTGTAGTGAGTCGAGATGGCACCACTGCACTCCAGCCTGGGCAGCAGAACAAGACTGTATATTAAAAAAACAAAACAAAACAAAACAAAAAAAAAAACCCTTAGATCCTTTGCTCTAGGTGTGGTTAAAAGAACAAAATTATTATAATTGCTATGCATAACTTTAGTCACTGCATCACATCTTCCCCTACATGTGCACCCATGTGCATGTCTGTTTCCAAGAAAAGGTGACTGTAGGAATAAGAAAAGACTTCTACTGAAATGCTGAATGTTACTCTGTTTTCTTGGGCCATCTTAATAATCACCTACAAAGCTGCAATTTTGGCAATATGAGCTGGCAGCCTGACCTAACATCATTGTACCTTAGATCACTGAAGTGCCTCCTCACATGACAAAACCTGCTGCACTTTCTTCCTACTTTGTTGTGGCCTCCATCAACCTTGTCCACGTCTTTCAGTCACCTGAGTCTCTAGGTGCACTGTTCAGTATGGCAGCTGTGAGCCAATGTGGCCACCAAGTGTGAAGAAGGGAGCCTTGTGAATTGATTGTAAAATGCACACTATATTTCCAAGACTTAGCATGAAAAGAAGAATGTAAAATAACTCAGTAATCTTTGCTATTGTTTGCAGGTTGAAATGATAATATTTTGGATATAGTGAGTTAAATAAACTATATTATTAAATTTAGTTTTACCTGTTTCTTTTTACTTTTTAAGGTGTGGCTACTAGAAAGTTTAAAATTGCAAATGTCATTTGCGTTTGGAGTTCACATTATATTTCTGTTCTGTACTGCTAGTCTAAATAGTTTGCAGTCCTTTGCACTGTTGTGATCTGTTTAAGAAAAATCATCCTTGGACAACAGTGTCTAAAAGTTTTTAATCTTTTAATATAGATATCAAATAGTTTTAAATGGCATATCAACTAGATTCTGAATTTTAAACCTTCTTTTTTAAAAAAAAAAGAATGAATATTTGTGTCCAAAACAAAGCCAGTAGTACTGGAAATTCAAATCTGTTAAACCATAGCATAGATAATGGGATAAGCTATAGCAATACTGGGACACATAATAAAAGCAATGGTTCTTAACCTTTTTAGTGTCACAGACCCATATTATTTTTGAACAAATATTTATTATGTACCTACTGTCTTCAAGACTGTGATAGGCTCTGTAAATACAGCTGAATAAATCTGAAACAAGTTTTAGATCCTCTCCCCACAAAAATGCATGTACACATATACTTACAGATTTGCACTTAATTTTAGGCTCCTGAGAATCTTCTGAGACCCATTTAGGAATTCTAGATTGACAATTCCTAAATTTGAGAAAAGAGCCTTGGCTTTATGGCCAGATGGATCTAGGTTTGAATGCGGCCCCACTAGCTACCAGAGTGACCTTAGACTGTTATTTATGTTCTTAAGGTCCCAATTTCCTCATCTATAAGATGAGGGATATGGAACATGGAGATAATGTAAGGATTAGCATTAACATATAGAAAGATCTTGCTTGTTCAGACTAGGTGCTTAATAGATTATAATGATTATTTCTCATATTGCTTTATGTCAGGAGGTAGCTCAAAAGGGTATGTTAGAGGACAGATTCTTTATATCTGAATTTTCTTTTGTGTGTCAAGGTTTTAAATTCTATAGTAACCCTAGAGATTAGTTGTTGAACAAAAATAGGTTTTGGTTCTTCAACCACATCATGACCTTTTAAATAAGATGTCCAAAAATGGTGTGTGAGTGGTCTGGTGTAAGAACGTCTCTGCCCACGCCATAATAGATATTATGTAGGGTGCACATATGTTTTTCTGTGGTTTGGAAACAAATTTGTGTCTGCAAATCTTAAAGATAGGTTTCTGGTTTTGGAGGGCTTTTTTTTTTTTTTTTTTGGTTTTTTTTTTAAAGCCTGTCCTGTTTTGTATACATTTCTTTCTTTTTTGGAGACGGAGTTTCGCTCTTGTTACCCAGGCTGGAGTGCAATGGTGCAATCTCGGCTCACCGCAACCTCCGCCTCCTGGGTTCAGGCAATTCTCCTGCCTCAGCCTCCTGAGTAGCTGGGATTACAGGCATGTGCCACCATGCCCAGCTAGTTTTTTGTATTTTTAGTAGAGATGGGGTTTCACCATGTTGACCAGGATGGTCTTGATCTCTTGACCTTGTGATCCACCCGCCTCGGCCTCCCAAAGTGCTGGGATTACAGGCATGAGCCACTGTGCCTGGCCCCATGTATACATTTCTTATAGGCAATTTCCAGCAGAAATATGGAAAACTTTGGGATAAAAGTAGCCTTAAATGAATAAGAACTTGGGCTAAGAAGCCAAAAGCCATGCTGCTCCTATACTGCTTATTCTTCCAATGCCAAACTCTGGAATAATCCATCCTCCAAATCATTAAGTTAAAGGTAGAGTGATTCATCAACTTTCAGGAGGTGAGGGTAAACCAGCCTTGTCATAATTTTATAGACTCTTCTTTCCACTCACGAAAACAAGTTATGTGTGGCATTTACGTACATCTGTGTTGCTGGGCATTTTCCAAATGCCTCTTGGAGAACATTAAACAGGAAATTGATGCCACAGGGCAAATATTCATTCTTCCCATCCTCTCACAAAAACAAGTACAGATTTGCTGTGGCTAGACTGACTTCCTGCATTGTACTGTTGCTTATTCAATTTTATACTAGAAGGAAAAAAAAGTACATTCTCTATTTTAATTTAGAGCATGTTAAAAATTACCAAAATGTATAAACAAAAAAAGCTTCCCTTCTGAGAGCACAGAAGTGTAGAATTCAATGTTTTATAAAATCACAAAATCCAAAGGTCAATGATTGCTCATCGTGCCTATTGATGAAAGTCAATTTCTGTTACAGTAGACACATCAAATTTGGTTTAAACAGCATGTGCTCTAGTTTTCAAATGACAGAATCTCTACACATTTGGACACTGCAGCTTTTCATATAAGGATGGCATCATTTTCTAACCTATAATAGTGGTCTTTGTTAGTGGCACTTCCTCAGTATCTATTTCTCCCCATTCACTTTCTTATTAGCCCAGAAATTGTTCTGGGATCCATGGGGTTTTAAAACAACTGAATCCACCTCTAGCCCCAGAATGGATAA